ATATTTGTTCCCGGGGCATGCTGGGAGCTGTAGGCCCGGGGCTGCCGGGCGGCCATGTTGGTATGTGGAGGTTTTTGTGGTATCTTAACTATTTGCATCTGCTTCAGAGTGTTTTTATCGCAAGGAGTTCTGTAAGTTCAGGGATGACCTGGCCCTAGGATTTACAAGAGCATGATATACATTAATTCGTTCTGGTAGGTTCTAGCTCTTCAGGCGTCACCAAGTTTGCTACTGGTTACCAGATAAAACACAGATAACTGCAGCTGGTCACTTCAGTATTACAGTCCTCGGCAATACAGTCCTAGGCAAACTGGGTATTCATGTTTTAATCACATGATTCTTTATTTTAAAGGAAGTTACTAACTGTTGATCTAGGTAAACACTGAGAAAAGACATGGCAGTTTATATTAGTTTATGTTCAGACTCAGTAATCTGCGGTTAGGTTACATTCAGATGCAAAGAAAAGTTATCGTTATTGCTGTTGTAATTTCATTTGGACTGATCGTTAGTAGAGGTAAAACAGAGATGCATGGGAGATGCTTTCTCCCTCGCCCCGTCACGCTCCTGGCTTGCAAGTTCTCTGCATGACTGACCTACTCTGGCACCTTGCAGTCCTCTTCCTTTCCAACAATGACATCCGAGTAGAATATATTTTCAAAAGATGCTTTTAAGAGAAATGCTGTCTTTTCAGAACAGTCAAGTAGTCTGTCTGTATGTCAGCTTTTTTTTAAGAAACTCGACAGTCCCAGGACATGGGTTGGATCACTCTCTTTAGTATCTTCTCTAGAAGTTGTCAGTTGATTTCAGTGAATGTTCCTGATAAGACATCTATTTTTTTACAGATAGAAGTGTTTAGTTCTTAGTCCCTAATTTCTGCCTAGAAAAGTAAGGCTTGCAACTTGTTGGAGGCAGGAATCTGGAAATTACATGCAATTTCAATGTTTTCCAGATTTTTTTTTTTGGAGGGGAGAAACCTCGCCTGTAACTGTTGCATAGCTTTCCAATTTACTCTGCATGTAGCTTCCTGTTTGTTTCGATCAATATGTTTATTCAGGAAATGCTGATGACAGTCTCTTTCTCCTGTTCACCTCAGTGGTTATACCATGATCATATACTCGTCTTCATAGGCTAATCACAATTGAAAAGATACTTTCTATTTTCCACTTTTGAGAATTTGAGAATTTAAGAATTAAAAGAAGAGAGTTTAGATACTTTGTCTGTTAATACTGTGAAAAAGACTTGATCCTCCTTCAGCAATACAGCTGACAAAATCCTGACCACAGAAACCAACATTTTGTGGGTGGGTTCCTGTAGTACACAGAGTTTGTGATCAGTGTTGGAAGACTTCCTCCATGACAGCTTCTAAAAGTACGTGAAATGTAGCTTGCTCTTTCTGAAGAAATGTCCTAGGTGATTTAACCTCAGCTATGGCAAATGTCTGCTAAGGTACCAGAAATTAAAATCTTGAAATTTTAATACTTCCTGTGAAAAAAACCCTCCTTTAATGTCCATAAATAAGGTCTATAAAACAGTGATATTCAAAAAGAATTCAGGGTAAATTATTTAGGAGATAAATACCATTGGAGTGTCTCACTTATCAGCAAGTATTCAGTAAAAAAAGCCAAATCTGGCTGAAGTGATTGCGAAAGTTGAGAGAAGTCCATCTCCTGGTATACTTCTCATGGAAGAAAAGTGGTTTAATGTAAAGGTGGGAATCTGCTTGTGGGATCTTGCACTAAAGCTGTATTAATTGCTGTTATATTTTGTAATCCAGGTGGCAGGTTTACACAGTGAATTCTTTTTTGGAACCCTAAACAAAAATGGCTCTTTTCTTTTTCTCATTTTGATAAAATTACAATTAATAACTGTGAATCTTAGGAGCATCTCTTGCTGTAACACTCAATAGAATTGAAGAGGTTAATGAGAAACAATGTACCCAGCTGGCATTTCACTTTTGAAGTGTTGTTGAGTTTAGTGGCCCAGTAATTTTAAGAAAATGAACTCCAATGAAGATAGTCTTACAAGACTTTTCAAGGAAAGCAGTAATTCCTTAAATCAGGCCCTAATAATGTTTAATTCACTTTTTGTGTCTTCAAAAATGCTTTTCTTAAGATTATAAATGAAGCTGGGGAATATCTAATATTTTATTAATTATTTGTGCTTTCAGTACAAGGAAGACCTTTTGAAGTTAAAGAGATGTTTCTGGAGGATGTTTTACGAAGCACTGGGTATACAAACAAAGAGATGGTAAAGTACAAAAAAGAGAAGCAGCGAGGTTTGTGGACTTGTTAACTATTAGGATTGGCAGTGGATCTCATTGAGTGAACAGCTAAATATGATGATTCTGTTAGATTTTCAAAGTCAGAATATTAAATGAGACATGATTAGATGACAGCGAGTGTCTTGTAGCTCTCAGTGTTTACATTATTCAAGTAGCTTGTGTAACTTTAAAAAAATATTTTTTCACTTTCTTTCAATGTTTGCATGCTTTTTGCTTATGGCTGATAAATGTTATGTTTTTCCTGATTATTATGGAGTAGAATTGAATGTGACTGGGGGCTTTGCAGAACATACTATGTTGTCCTGGTTTCAGCTGGGATAGAGCTG